AGGGTAATTTTCCCATTCCATCTATTTACTTGCAGTGGTCATGATGTCCTTGTAGCAGACTCATAACCAATTATGTAAATGTAGTCCATATTCATTATGCATCCATCAATCAATGCATAACTAGGTTGATTCCATTCCCTAGCTATTGTGAATAAAGTGGCAATGAACATGGATGTGGAAGTGTCTCTGTAGCAAGATATGTAAAGTTCTCCAAAGAAGGAATACATGTGACCGGGAAATACTTCAAAAAGTATGCAACATCCTTAGCTACCAGGGAAATGCCAATTAAAGCTACTTCAGGATTCCACCTCATCCCAGTCAGAATGGCCATCATCAGGGACACAAATGACAACAAATTCTGGCATGCATGTGGCAAAAGGGGACCCCTTATACACTGTTTGTGAGAATGTAAACTAGTACAAATACTTTGGAAATCACATTGGTTATTTCAAAAAATAAAAAGAAAGAATTACCATATGACCCAACTATATATCATTTCTATTTTTACTTTTTTTTAAAGACGAGGTCTAACTCTGTAACCCAGACTGGCCCTAAACTCATGGTAAGACCTCACCTGCCTTAGCCTCCCAAGCACTGAGATTACAGGTGTGCACCCTCAGGCCAGGCTGTCAGTCCCTACTCTAAGAAACTTCTCTATTGACTTGTCTTTCTGTATGACTAATGGCTAACCACAGGGGGAAGTTTCTGCCCCTATATCATACAACTCTCTCTCTGATTCCAAATATCCAAATAGAATCTGACCCAGTGCAGCTATACACTATTTATTCTCAAGTCAGTGTGGACTCCTTTTGCCACCCTAACCAGGCAGACTCCATTCCAGGATATGTATCCTTGATCCAGGTCTCCTTTGGCTAGTCATAGAGCAGATTATCTAAAATGGAATATGGATGAAGAAATGTTTAGGTTACCTATTACCACGTAAAACCACCCCCAAAACACAGAGGTATGAAATAACCCCTCCCTTTAAAAAATATTGCTATGAGTTTACAAGTTAGCTGGGCAGTTCTGCTGTTCTAGGTCAGGCTTTCTGACTGTGGCTTCAAGCAAGTGGCTCATTGGGAAGTCAGCTGAAGATGCCTATCCTAGGATCGGCTCCCTTATATGCCTGAAAGCAATATAGGTGTCACCTGAAGTGAGTGAAATGACTAGCTACATGTCCCTCATCACCCAGCACGCTCGTAAGGGTAATTTTCCCATTCCATCTATTTACTTGCAGTGGTCATGATGTCCCTGTAGCAGACTCATAACCAATTATGTAAATGTGGTATATATTCATTATGCATCCATCAATCAGTGCATAACTAGGTTGATTCCATTTCATAGCTATTGTGAATAAAGTGGCAATGAACATGGATGTGCACGTGTCTCTGTAGCAAGATATATAAAGTTCTCCAAAGAAGGAATACATGCGACCGGGAAATACTTCAAAAAGTATGCAACATCCTTAGCTACCAGGGAAATGCCAATTAAAGCTACTTCAGGATTCCACCTCATCCCAGTCAGAATGGCCATCATCAGGGACACAAATGACAACAAATTCTGGCATGCATGTGGCAAAAGGGGACCCCTTATACACTGTTTGTGAGAGTGTAAACTAGTACAAATACTTTGGAAATCACATTGGTTATTTCAAAAAATAAAAAGAAAGAAAAAAGAAAGAATTACCATATGACCCAACTATATATCACTTCTATTTTTACTTTTTTTTAAAGACGAGGTCTAACTCTGTAACCCAGACTGGCCCTAAACTCATGGTAAGACCTCACCTGCCTTAGCCTCCCAAGCACTGAGATTACAGCTGTGCACCCTCAGGCCAGGCTGTCAGTCCCTACCCTAAGAAACTTCTCTATTGACTTGTCTTTCTGTATGACTTATGGCTAGCCACAGGGGGAAGTTTCTGCCCCTATATCATACAACTCTCTTTCTGATTCCAAATATCCAAATAGAATCTGACCCAGTGCAGCTATACACTATTTATTCTCAAGTCAGTGTGGACTCCTCTTGCCACCCTAACCAGGCAGACTCCATTCCAGGATATGTGTCCTTGATCCAGGTCTCCTTTGGCTAGTCATAGAGCAGATTATCTAAAATGGAATATGGATGAAGAAATGTTTAGGTTACCTATTACCACGTAAAACCACCCCCAAAAGACAGAGGTATGAAATAACCCTTCCCTTTAAAAAATATTGCTATGAGTTTACAAGTTAGCTGGGCAGTTATGCTGTTCTAGGTCAGGCTTTCTGACTGTGGCTTCAAGCAAGTGGCTCACTGGGAAGTCAGCTGAAGATGCCTATCCTAGGATCGGCTCCCTTGTATGCCTGAAAGCAATATAGGTGTCACCTGAAGTGAGTGAAATTACTAGCTACATGTCCCTCATCACCCAGCACGCTCGCCTGTGTTCATTCACATGATGCTCCAGGGTGCCCAGGGAGTAAGCTACATCTGCATGTTCCCACAGTCAAGAGGAACCAAAGGGTCCAAGCACAATGCCAGTAGGGGAGGAAGCATCTCACTGGGAGCATCTCATTGCACATTGTGTCACAGTGCACAGAGATGGAAAGAGAATAATGGCTATTTCTGCAAACGATTCATCACAGTGAAGCTGTCTTAAAACAGGATGTAGCTAAGGAAAATACCATAGGTTCTATGGAATTGACACTGTGGGGCAATGGCATAGGCTGTTTTGGGTAGTCAAGGAAGATAAGAACAGAGACTAGGTTGTAGACAATAGCCATCAGTGGGCTGAGAAGGCCACTATCACCTCCCTGACTCCTTTTTCTTCCCAGGAGGCTGGATCCCCGTGCGGCTGGCAGGCAACCATGGGAGATGCGCGGGCCGTGTAGAACTCTTCTACCAGGGAGTCTGGGGGACTGTGTGTGATGATCTCTGGGACCTCCCAGAAGCAAACATCATCTGCAGACAGCTGGGCTGTGGCTGGGCTGTTTCAGCTCTGAGTGAAACTCACTTTGGGGAAGGTTCTGGGAAGATTATCCTTGACAATGTGCATTGCAAGGGACACGAGGAGCACCTGGAGGAGTGCTCCCACATTGGCTGGTTCTCCCACAACTGTGATCACAGTGAAGATGCCGGTGTCATTTGTTCAGGTAAAGTTCATTGCCTTTTAGAGCCTAGTCTCAGCCATTCCAAGAGAACACCCTCCATTCCTATTTTAGTCACTGTTTTCTCTGCTGTAGCAAATACTAACAAAAGGAGAAGGAAGAAAAGGTATGTTTTGACTCACAATTTGGGGACAGCCTACCATTGTGGTGGAAGTGTGACTGAGCTTGTCCCTTTGCACTTGCTGTCACAAAGCAGACTGGGGGTGCTTTAAACTTTTATCCCTTTTATTCAGCCTGGGACCCCTCATCCATCAGATTACAGTTTTCCCTCTCAGTTTCCTTTCTGGAAGCACCCTTGCACACATGCCCAGAGGTGGCTCCTAAGTGGTTCCAAATCTAGTTGACAATGATGATGCGCTTGTTATCCCATGACGTGTAAAAATAACCACTGAATATGTGCCAGTATGCCACTCACTCACAGCAGGTTTTTTTCATGTCTCACTTTTGTAGATGCTGAATACGTAGTGAGGACACAACCAGGTAGGGAAGATGATGTTTATCTGTGTGGTTCACTGGAGGCTTGGGGAAGAGGTTCTGTTGGAAACTGGGTTTGTCTTATTCTCCAAGGCAGTGGAGTAGCAGAGAGACAGGCCATGCAATCACCTGTTGTCCAAGAGGAGAGCAGACAATGCCTTCAAGGTCATCTGCCCTGGCCCCACTACCCTTCACCTCCTCTATTGTGCATCATGTAGATACATGCATGATAATTGATTCCTCAGACTTCTGTAGAACACTTTGTTCAGTCAGTTTTGAGGTGTGCATAGATATGCCTATGACTAGGTAGGACATGGTTGAAATGTGAGGTGTGGCCAATATACTTCCTTTCAAGTGGGGAATGACTAGAGACAAATACTATCCCAGTGTGGTGATTCCCATGTCCATTCTATGTCTCTGCCTTGTTCCTGGTATAGTCCTGGCCCCAGAAAACTTCCATCACTGTTAGTGTTCCTTCATTCTCCCCGGAGTGTCCAATGCTCAGTGTCCCTACTACTCACCAGACCTGAGGTCTCTTGCTGCCATGTGCTCAGATAATTCTCAGT